TATAGGAGGTTGTGTCGTTCGAATGTATCTGGATCCAAGGTTGGAGCAATGAATCATCCAATCAAAAAGGTGCGGAAGATCGGCACTAGAAAGGCCTTCTTGAAAATGTTCAATGTTTTTGGATCGTCTCAGCGTGGCTCAGGAGCTGGTGGAAAACCAATCATGAAGGTGGTAGGACCAAGGCCAGGTTTTCCAGCTGTACTCAAAGCATCAAATACTGATAGCACCTTGGGTGAAGGGAGCAGTTCTCAGGTACATGGCAATGTTCATGTAGAGCAGAATCGCCCTATGGACCGGTACGAGGCGGAGCGTCTGGAGAAGAGGAAGAAAGGCTTCTGCTATTGGTTCAGCAGGGGAAAAGATCGCTGCAAATTTGGTGAGAGTTGCAAATTCATCCATTCAGAAGATGATGTGGTGCTACAATCGTATTGGTGCAAGTACTATGTGGCTGGGAGACACTACTTCTCTGGAGAGAACTGTAAGTTCTCACACAATGCAACTGGTGTAAGGTGTATCCAGTTTGCTCAGTCTGGGAAGTGTCGTTATGGGGACAAGTGTGTCTTTGAGCATGGTGATCCGCTGGATGAACAGAGGCCAAGGTCTCCAAGGACGCCCCCAAGGGATGGTCCAAGGAGAAGTTCTGGTACAAGAGGTGGAGGAAAGGAGATTTCCCCTGAACGGTATGATGAAGAAGAGGAGGATTTCATGGTTTATGACGACGATACCAGGATGGTAGAACTGCTGATGGAGGCGATTTCATATATGTCTGATGGCAAGTCAGATTTAGCTCGTGCAGAGGCGGACCAGTGTTCAAACTCCTGAAGTTCAATGGAGACACTGAACAGATGGATACAGAATGGTGTTCATGGACCACTGGTATGCTGTCCTTGCTGGAACTTCACGAAATAGTGAAGTCGTATGAGGTTTCGCTGGTGGACGTGGAAGAATGGGTCAATGACCTGAGGATATGGTTCCAGCGAGCCAATATGGAAGAAGAGAGAGATCCAAAAAGGGGCAAAAAAAGGTCCCTAGAAAGGGAGTCCAGTAAGGATACTCCTGCCGAAAAGGAGGTGGTTGGAACTTCGGAGACGGATGTTGCCGTTGAAGAAGAGGTGAAAAAGGCCAAAAAGAAGAGGAAAACTGCGGCTAGCGAGGATCCTTATACTCTTCTGGTTCCAAAGCCGAAGAAGATGCCGGCGAACATTGAGAAGGGTGGATCATCATCCAATGCGGTGGTTTCTGGAGGGGAAAAGGCCTCTTCGAGAATGCGCACAAAGGCAAGCGTCGTGGGAAAGACGAAGAAGAAAGAGAAAAGTCAAAGCCCCAAGAAGGAAGAGGTGGTAGTGGTGAAAGGTCCTGGGGAAAAGGATCGTTCCTCTGATGTGGATGCGCAAGCGTCTACTACGGCGGATGCAGAGCTGGGTCAATCTTGCCAAGCAATTGAGGACGCGAAGAGAGAAGGATTGGTATCCTCAATTCAAAGGTGTGTGCAGGATCCTGTTCTTACAGTGTCGGACCTGGAGCACGTTTTGCTGCGACTTCACCTAAGCATCGATGCCCACCGGAAGAAGAAGAAGGGATGACTGGATGGTATTGATGAGGGAATGGTTTTTTCTCTTTCTGAAGACAAGTGCGCTGGAACAGCCAATGTGCTGAAAGTATGGTGGTTACTATTAAGGGTATGGAAATCCCTGATAGTAGAAAGTTAGTAGCCTTTTGCGTAGCGAAGACCACGGTTCGTGGTGAAGAAGGCTGAAGAGTCTTCAATGACAAGAGAATCATGGTGGTAAAAAGATTCTCTATGGTAAAAGGTGTTTAGCCAATGTGCTATAAATTCGTCCTGGATGACGTTAAACCATAACATGCATTCCAAGCAGCTGGCTGCTGCCCTAATGGCAGTTTTTGGCCAAAAGTCTGCACCTCCAGTGTGTGTCCTAGGAAATCCTAGGACAGGGGGAGTGCGGAGCTGCAGTTTGTATTGTGGAAAAGAGTTGGTGTTGAAGGATAAAGGGTCAATGAACCCGGTAACCTTTGTGGCTCAAGAATGGCCACTAACAACGGCTGTTCAAAGCGAAAAGCAGTGCCCTGGGGTTTGGGGCTGGGGTTGGTGTCTGGTTACTTTGGTAAGGATATCCCCCTCCCTCCTTCGGGTGCTCTTGTTTGGATCTGTGTTGTGTTCTTCGGTTCAGGGAGTTCATTTAGGCAGCCAAGGGTTGAGATTCTTTCTTTTCCCCTTTCGGTTGCCCCCGTATAGGGTTTAGGGTTTAAAGCTCAAAGTGAGTCTCAAGACTCTGATTCCAAGCGACAAATGCAGTTGCTGTTCACGAAATGCATCAGTCAATTATGGCTCTTACCCCCCCCCCCCCCCCCCCCAAGTGGCAAGGGAGACCCGGAGTCGACACACCCCGAGAGTGCCTAAGGAGATGCTGTTAAAGAGACTTTCGTCATTTTCCTTCGCCTCTCTGCGTGAGAAAGATCACACCCTCTAAACTCACCGCGCTGGGTGCTACTGCGCAACACCAGCTCTCCAGAAACTGCATCCAGCACTGGCAAACGCCTAGTGACAGGAAAGGAAAGGTGTGTCAAAACTGTAGCCTAACATGACAAACGCCAGCTTCAAGCTTGCTAGCTGCTCACACAGTTGCAAGTTGATGTGCAACTCCCAAACACGCGCTATGTTGAAAATACGTCCTGGTCGCCCACAGAAGTTGTCGACCACAAGGTACCTCAATCTGGTCCGATTCTCAGGAGATAGGGGCACCTAAACCCTAAACCCTAAACCCTAAACCCTAAACCCTAAACCCTGAACCCTGAACCCTGAACCCTAAACCCTCAGCCGGGAGTCCGTGCCCCTGCGGACCTGTTTGTTGCGAGCATCCTGTTGCCCAGGAGAAAAGCCAACCCTGGTACTTTCCAACCCAAGCACAAAAACCTGGGGGTTTACGATATTGGGGATACCTTACTGGGGTCCTTATTATGAGGGGATCCTACTATTTAGGGGGTCTATATTAGGGCCCCTTAGGATGGTAAACCCTCACTTCTGGTCAAGTTGTGACTGGTTGCTGGAGGTTGAACATCTCCGGAAAGTAGCCGTCGATGTGCGTTTTGGGGTCGGTCTCCTTAAAGAGCTCCGTAAAGCAAATCGCCAGCGGATGCCGCGCGGTTCCCGACCTCAGTGAGACGTTCGACTCTGGCGTTTAGGGTTTTTCGGCTTTTTCGGGTTTAGGGTTCAGCCTTTGAGTGTAGGGATCTTAGGAGGCTGCCGCAGGTTGCAGATTGGGCCAAGCTGGTGCGCTGAGGTAAACAGGCCCAAGCCATGCAAGCCCTGTAACCTATCATCCGTAGCTGTCGTCCTCATGGGATGCTGGGTCTAGTTCTTCATGTTTCAGATCTAAGCCGTACTTAGGGGATGCTCGCGTATTCGGGAGTAGTAGCTAGCCCATGCTTTCGGGGACAAAAACGGGGAAGCGAAACAAGGGACACAAACAGACACGGTGGCCAAACTGGGCTTGTGTGCGGGCCAAACTGCAGCGGCTCGATCCAGTGGCGCCGATTGTCCTCCCAGGGCTGGAGGAAAGGTAGGGCACCCCCATGCCCGTATAAAATTTTGTAAACCCTCACCGTATTCATCAACTCGTTCAATTCATTACTTAGTGCTGCATGTGAACACCGGCACTTTTTCAAGGCGCAAGCTGGGGCGCGGCGCTGGCACTTTGACCGGAGACATCCCAACAAAAAAACCTCTCGTTGCCTACGTTTGGCAGTCTCCGAAAATAGGGGGCGGCTCACGGTGACGGCATCGGCCCTGAGACGTTCAACACTGCTCTGCGCTCTCTCTGCGCTGCTGAATGCCTGGAATGCCACGGAATGTTAGATCTTCCAAGATCTCTACCCCACATTGAGATTCGGAAGCTGTGCTGGCCCCTCTGAGTGGCATGCCCGGCGTGGCAGCAGCGCTCTGCACCACATGCAAGCTACTGTAATGAGCTCGCGTTTTTTTCTGCATTCTTTTCACCTACGAGTACCTGCTTGTTCAATCCTGTGTTTTTTTGCCTCTCAGACAGAAAAACAACCGTATGCAACACCGAGGTTGTCAGAGGTAGCACTAAAACATTGCAAGATGCGTCTTGCATACGACGAGACAGACTGCGGTACGGCTACAGAAAGCTCGACTTGCAGTCCCTGGGCCCCCTGAAAGCCTGAGAACTGCAACCTCAGCCCTAAAGCTGTCTTGAGCTACATCCTCAACCTTTATGCAGATTCGGAGATAACCAGCTTTGACACCGTTAAACCCTGGGTCCAAGGTCACATGGGCGGTCCCCACCACACTAGTGGAACACAAGGGATCTGGACCTTTTTGAAGCCAGAGAGCCAAGAGTGGGCCTAAGGGCAAAGGGATCCAACCCAGACTTAGTCCTGGGGCTTACCGGTCCTGGGCTTGGGCGCCGGATTTCGGGTCTCTTGCACACGCGACGGTTGTATTCGCCAAGACTTTAGGCTCCAGGATGGGCTGCCCTCCAGGCTCTCTAGATCCCTAGAACCCCCCTTTACAAGTGCTTGCATCTTTGGCTTCGAACTTCTGGTAACTTGGAACCTTGACCTCAAGCATCTGTTGCAGCACCTTCGAGCTCGGATGGCAGCTTTTTGTGAGTGCCAAGAATAAGAACAGGATCTCGGATCACAGTGGCCATTCCTTCATGCTTTGGAAGGTGCCCACTAAAGCAAACGAATTAGTGGCTCCTGACGTTAGTCCTCCTGCAACGTTGGGATTTTGCTTCCGGCCTGCCGGACATGGCTGTGATGCTGCAAAGGACTGGTGCCTCCCCAGCCCTCGTAAGGGTGGTTCTATCTACAATGCGCTGCCGCAAGCAGAGACTCCCGCAGCGTCGTCTTCAAAACATATTCCACTTCCCAGGCGACGCAGTTTCGAGCCTTCCGCCGCATTTTGCGTGACTTCTAAAACAAGCCGAGCTACTTCTAAAAGAAACCGGGCTCCATTTTCACCAAACCGAACTCGCCTTCCGCATCGTAAAGACACTCTTCTCGGTCGAGCTTAGTGGTCGCATGTATGCAACGAAGTGGTGCACGGAACTGAGATGGTCTCCAAGGAAGATGTCCGAGGCAGACATGGCCAGCAACTCACCAAAGAACTTGATGTAGTGATCCGTCAAGTTTTGCTTCTTCAGCTCTGGTGACTGCTTCCATCCAAGCTCCCAGCTCTTGCCACAGAGGTTCTTAAAGGTATATCGCCGGGATGCTTGCTTGAGCTCTGACAGGGAGCGACAGTCATCTGTGCCGACGAAGACTTCCCGCGTCAGTGTACCGTTGACAGTCACAGCGTCCAGGAACTCCACAATTGTGCTCACGTTGATGGGCTGCGTGTTTTCTCGGGTTTTGTCCCCACGCCGCACCAGAAGAGAAACATAGGGATGACGCAGCTTCCTCAGTTGGCTAGCACCTAGGGTACTTACAGAGCGCCCCCCCCCCCCCCCCCGCCCCGCCTAGCAAGGGAAGGAAAGGCAGATGAAAAGCAAAAGCAATCAGCAAAGTCCAAACAGAGTCTCAGCTTTGCCACCATAGGACAGGCTCGCTCTCGGGTCCAGGGCCGGAACTGCCAAACCTTTCGCAGAAATCGCTGCTTCATCTGGTGCTTGGGGAGCGTTTCTGAGCCGATCGTGATCTGCTCCTAAGCTGATGCTGAAGGAAGAGAGCGCTCTCTCGGTTTCAGAAAGGGGAATTGCTGATTCATGGCTGGGATAGTATGGAAAAAAGAAAATTCCATTCCTTAATGGGTTTAAGTTTAAGTGCCCTTGAAACATGTATAAAATGTTACCCAACTATGACAAGGATGAGGGGGAACCCCAGCATGTCCAGAAGAGTCTAGCGGCCCTTCAGTTGCCTCACTGGGACTCTACTCCCCCCAGAACCTTAGCAAAAACACTATTTTTAAATATCTTCTTGGGTTTGATGTAAACAAGAATAAAACATAACTCCCAAGGGGGATATAGGGGAGGGGATCATGGGATTTCATTGGGAGCTGATGAGATTTGGGCCCCACTTGGGGTGGTCTCCCACACAGTCGCCCTTCAATTCTGAAGTCCTGTCATGAAAGCGCTGCTGATTAGAGCCTCTGGGGTCCGTGCTACCGAACTTCTGGCTGCTGCTGTTCCAAAACCTGAGCTCGCGAGGAATGAGTCCTACCTAAGCTTAGGGCATAGGGCATATAGATTATAGGCTTTTGGGCATACATGGGGGAGGGGGGTTCAGGGCAAACTCAGCCCTCAACAACTTGGCTCAAGTAGCCAACTGAACTCGAATGACAAAAACAGGGGTGCGCGAGTTCGGAGGGTGAACGGGGGCTTGGGAAGGGAATGTGTCGGGCAGCACAAGGTGCTGCAGAGCCCCTACCAGCATGGGCTATGAGGCCTTATAATCCCCTAACCAACTCTACAAAGGGCCTGTTTAAGGGGTTGTAGGGTTTAATACCCCATGCAGGTACGTCGTCCTACCTGCAACTTGGAAACTTTAGCATCGCCCGCAAGCCCGAAAAAAGAAAGCCCAGTAGCTGCTTGGCCAGCCTAGGAGAGAATAATGTGCCGGGACAAAGATCACACTCAACTTAGGGTTGGAAGTAATTCATGTAGGGGCCTTGAGAATGACAGTAGGGTTTTGGGATGTTTTGGGGTTTTTCTAGTATCATTATATAGGGACTGTAAGGGAAGACCATTAGTTATTATTCCGACCCCTATAGTACCGCCAAGAGACATGTCCACGAACGGCTTCTTGTCCAGATTCTTGCCCTGTAGCCCGATGGGCTGGAAGAAACGGGCAAACCACGCCTCGGAGCTACGGCGGCTCCGCGTTTCGGACATTTCGCCGGTTTTTTCCCCTTCTTGTGTATATATATATATGTATATATACATATAAAGTAATTAATATGAATATATACACACATCCTCACACACACACACACACATATATATATATATGTGGCCGAGACCTTTAGGGTCTATTTCACGGCTGGTTCTTCTTTCAGTAGTAGTGCAATAATAATAATAATTTTAATATTATTATGAGTATAATAATACTGACCGTAATTGTAATAGGAATAATAATAGTACTAGTAATAGTAATAGGAATAGGAATAGTAATAATTCTAGTAATAGTATTAGTAGTAGTAACAGTAATAGTGAAGGTTTGGTCTGTGTGTGCACCGGCGCCAGCAAGTGCAGCCATGTAGCTCTAGCACACTTTGAAGTAAGAGATAGACAAGTTGTTTCATAGCCTGAAGAGGGGCGAAGGGCTCTCTCATTTCCGATTACGAGGTAGAGGTGAGCTATCTCATTTCTTAGAAACATAGAGGAGATCTCATTTCCACGACAGAGACATCTTTCACTCAGGAGAGAACGCAAGCTGTTTCATTTCCAAGAAAATAGAGGAGCTCTATCATGTCGCATTAGAAGTGAGAAGCTCTGCACTAAAAGATAGAAGGCATCGATTCGTTTCCCTTTTTCTTTTGCTTATCAAAGGGTCTTTTCAGTTCGAACACAGGATTTCTTTCATGCCCTATAAGAAGGATCGAGGAGCTCTTTCATCTGAGAGATAGAAGAACGCATTCATGAAGTATACACGAGCTCATTTCTCGTCAAGAGGCAGAGGCGTGCCCAGCTCTACCATTACCTAACTCTTACCTGAAATTTCTCTATCTCGCAATAGGTCATGAGAGACCTCCTTTTTCACGCTGCAGGAAATGAGAGAGTTCTCTTCTATGTCGATTTTCAGAAATAGCTTCGCAGCTTCTCTATCAATGAAGAGTTTTGAAGGCCACTCTGGGCCATTCTCTGTCCATCAAATGGGACATGACATAACGCATCTCTCGCTATCGTTTACGTGATAGAGTTTCGCTATCTCTGAATAGGTCATCTGAAAGCTCCTCTGTATCTTTGCAGCAAGTGAAGGAGCTCCTTGCCTCTTCTGCAAGAGCCCTCCGCTTCCTATTTTGCAATGAGCAAGCTCTTTTATCTCCTCTGGTTCCTAATAGGTCATGAGCGGGCTTCCCTCTCTCCTTCTCTTTTAGGGGATAGAGGAGGTTTTTTCATGTTGCGTTAACAGCTAGAGGACATCATTTATATCCATTCTGTCATTTCGTATGAGAAGATACAGGAGCTCATTCATCTCCTAGTCAGAGATTGAAGAACTCGTTCACAAGAGATATAGATATAATAAATCTCTCATACAATGTATAAGAGCTCTCTCATGTCCTACCTAGTTCATTTGCCGTCACCAGCGCTCAGCTCTACCATTTCGTATCTTTTATATGACATAGCTTCTCTATCTCGCAATAGGTCATGAGAGACCTCCTCTTTCTTTTGCAGGAAATGAGAGAGGTCTCTATCTACCTTTTGTGAAAGAGCTCCCTTTGTTCAATCACAAGAACTCATTCATAGAAGCTGTAAGAGCTCTCGAATGTACTTTCTTGTTAATTTCCCGTCGATAGGTAGAGGAGCTCACAGCTCTACCACATCCTACCCTTTACATGGAAGAGGCTCCTCTATCTCGTAGCGGGTCAAGAAAGATTGGCTCTATCTCTTTGCAGAACATTAGAGAGTCCTCTACCTACCTCTTGTGAAAGAGCTCCTTCACCTCAAAATCAAATGCCACAACTCGTCTATCTTTCACTGGGACATGAGACAGCTCCATTGTGAATTTCTATTCAGAAATAGCTGCTTCTCTATCGATGAAGAAATCATGCGAGTAGCCGTTTATCGATGCATAAGAAATGACATAGCTCTTCTACCTTTTTGCGACAGATCTCTTCTTTACCCGAAATGAAAGTTTGGAAGGCCATTCTCTATCCCTTGAATGGGGACACAACTCATCAGTCTCTATCGTTTACGTGAGAGAGTTTCGCTATCTCTGAACAGGTCATCTGAAAGCTCCTTTGTGTCTGCGCAGCAAGTGAAGGAGCTGCTTGCCTCTTCTGCAATAGCTCCTCCGCTTCCTATTTTGCAATGAGCAACCTCTTCTATCTCCTTTGGTTCCTATTTCTCGTTTGCCATCACTAGGCAGAGGAGCTCTCAGCTCTACCATGACCTATCTTTTACATGAAAGAGGCTTCTCTATCTCGTAACGGTTCATGGAGTCATGACAGATCTTCTCTATCTCTTTGCAAGAAAAGAGAGCGTGCTCTACCTACCTCGTGTGAAAGAGCTCCTCCACCTTGTGATCGAGAGTGACAGAACTCGTCTATCTTTCAATGGTGCATGAGCCAGGTTTTTTGTTTGTATTTGAGAAAAAGCTTGTCTACCCGTGATATAATAAGAAATGAATAGCTCTTCTACCTTTCTGTGACAGATCTCTCCTTTATTCGAAATGAAAGTCTGGAAGGCCATTCTCTATCCCTGAAATGGGGCATGACATAACTTTTCAATCTCTATCGTTTACGTGATCGAGTTTCGCTATCTCTGAATAGGTCATCTGAAAGCTCCTCTGTATCTTTGCAGCAAGTGAAGGAGCTCCTTGCCTCTTCTGCAAGAGCCCTCCGCTTCCTCTTTTGCAATGAGCAAGCTCTTTATCTCCTCTGTTTCCTAACAGGTCATGAGACAGCTCATTTCCACACTGTCATTTCGTATGCGAAGACACAGGAGCTCATTCATTTTCTATTCAGAGATTGAAGAACTCATTCATAAGAAATGTATGAGAGTTGTCTCATGTCCTATCTAACTGATTTCCCGTCACTAGGCAGAGGAGTCCTCAGCTCTACCATTTCTTATCTTTATATGACATAGCTTCTCTATCTCGCAATAATCAGGTCGTGAGAGACCTCCTCTTTCTTTTACAGGAAATGAGAGAGGTCTCTATCTACCCTTTGTGAAAGAGCTCCCTTTGTTCACTGGCAAGAACTCATTCATGAAAGCTATAAGAGTTCCCGTCGATAGGTAAAGGAGCTCACAGCTCTTCTATATCTTACCCTTTACATGAAAGAGGCTCTCTATCTCGTAGCGGGTCATGAAAGATCGTCTCTATCTCTTTGCCGGACATGAGAGAGTCCTCTACCTACCTCTTGTGAAAGAGCTCCCCCACCTCGTAACGTACAAAGACAGAACTCGTCTATCTTTCAATGGGACATGATCCGTCTCTTTGGTTTTGGTTGAGAAAAGCTTCTCTATCCATGAAGCAAACATGAGAGAAGCCGATTGTCTCTAGGCTGCTTATCGCTTCGTAGGAAATGACATAGCTCTTTTACCTTTTTGCGAGAGATCAACCCTAATTGAAGGTTTCGAAGGCCTATCCCTGAAATGGAGCGTCGCATAACTCATCAGTCTCTCTCGCTTACGTGAGACAGCATTTATTCTATTTCGTAACAGGTCATCTAAACGCTCTTCTATGCGTTTGTAGAAGTAGAAGAGCTCCTTGCCTCTTGTGCAAAAGCTCCTCCGCATCCTAAAGAGCAATGAGCAAGCTCTTCTATCTCCTCTCTCTTGAATAGGTCATGAGAGGGCTCCCCTCCCTCTGGTTGAGGGAATGACAGAGCTCCTCCGCCCCTTACGAAAGAGCCTTTCTCCTGCTTGAAAAGCTGCGGGCGGGTGCTCTGGCGCCTCGTAGGTTTGGGAGGGCTCCTTTTCACATCTTTATCTTTCCGACTCCGAGATATAGGAGCTCATTTTTTCGAAAGTGGTAGCAGAGATCTCTCATTTCCAAGAGATCTTTGTCACTCAGGGAGAAAGCAAGGTTTTGATTTCAAAGAAATGGAGGAGCTCTTTCATGTCCCATTAAGAGTGTGGAGCGCTCTCATTACGCATGAAAAGATTGATGACATGGATTCGTTACCATTCTTTAACTTTTCTCGAAGGGTCTTTTCTTTTCATATGCAGGATCTCTTTCATTTCCTATGAGAAGATAGAGGAGCTCTTTCATCTCAAAGATAGAAGAATGCATTCATAAACGGTATAAGAGCTCTCCCATGAACTATATCTCATCGTAGGGGGCATAGGAGTCTTAGGGGGCTCAGGATTCGCGTGCAGGGTGTAGGGTTTATAGGGCTACGGGAATTTAATGGAGGGTGTATTTGTGTAGTCTGCCTATTACCGTAACAAACCCGTGACATAACCCAGAGCCATTACTTGCAAGACTGCTTCTTGAAAGCAAGAGCGCTAGTGTCTAACCATTGTACATTCCTACATGAGATACCCCACCACATCTTGAAAACACCTCTTTCTCCAAGGGTTTACTGGGGCATTAAGGAACAAGAACGTGATGGTTTCAGCACCAAAGTAAGGGAATAGCAAAGGGTTTCCAGGGAAAACTTCCCTGATGCAACCGGTCTCTATCTCACAAGAGGTCATGAGAGACCTCCTGTATCACATTGCAGGAATGAGAGAGTTCTCCACCATGTTTGTTTTCCGAAATAGCTTCTCTATCAATGAAGAGTTTTGAAGGTCGCCCTGGGCCATTCTCTGTCCGATAAATGAGACATGACATAACTCATTAGTCTCTATTAAGAGAGTCTCTATCTCTACGTGATCGAGTTTC